AAAAATTCAGGGGAGAGTGCGAATGCAGTCCCCCACTACTATTAAGCGTGCGCATGTGTGTGTGCTTGATACAAACACATTCACATGCCAGTTAAAGCACAAAGACAAACACTGTGTTGTACCTAGTGCACACCAGCAGTCTTTTCAAAGAGCAATGGCAGCTCACATCCTGCAGACTGCCATTAAATTCAGCTCTGAATAAAAGCAAAAGGAAAATGGAAGTTGAAATGATCTGTAAAATCAAGCCTATTATCTTTTGTTCTGCTATTTACGCTGATGTGCATGTATCATTGCTGGGCTGGAGTTAAAAAGAGAAACTTATCCATTTTAAAATAGTTTAAAAGTAAATAGCTGTCACGAATCCGGTCTATGACTTCCGTTTGTTCACCACAAGAGGTCATTATCCACCACATGGACTCTCACACTACACAGACTGTCACACTCACACTGGACTTCAGTTCCCACAATCCATTTCACTCTGATTACACACACGGCTGCAGCCAATCACACACCCTACATAAGCCATGGACTTCCTCTCTTTCACTGCTGAGTATTGTTTAGCACTTATCACTCTTCCAGCGATAGCTACTTTACGGAGCCATTCCAAGTTTTCTGAGTCTAGTCGTAGTCTTGTTCATAGTCTGTTTTCCCGTGTTTGTACTCTAGCCTGTTTTCTGGTTTTGCCTGTTCTCTGCCTGCCCTGAACGATTTCACCTGTCTTGGATTTCCCTTCTCGTCTTGCCCTGTTCGGATACTGTTTACCTCTCGCCTGGACTATCGCTTGTGTTTCAAATTACCCCTTTGGATTACCCTGTTTGGACATTGTTTGCAGGAGATCGACCACGCCCGTTTACTGGACTACTCTTGTGTCTTGCCCACGTTATACCTGTTTGCCATTGTTTGACCCATGCCTGTTATATGACCACGTCTTGGAAATAAAGCCTTGCATATGGATCCGCACGTCTCACGTCTCGTTCGGTACTGTATTTGGGTAGGATCGTAGATACGTAGTAACACTTGACTAAACTTGACTAAAATAGGTTTTGCTAGAGAAATGGTCAGCATATTGTGTATCACTATTTTGCACAGTCATTTTTAAACACCTCTGTGGTCTCTGCCAGGACAAACATGTTCAAGTAAGTCCATTAAAAAGGGTCAAGCGGTGACTTCTGCCTGATATCTTTTTTCATTAAATTGCACTTTTTTTTTTTGCAACATATTTCAGGCATAAAGACAATATTACAAATATAATTGAAATGAAAATATAACTGAAATTAAATATAACTGATCAATTTAATGTAAAATTACTTACAGTAATTATTTGTCATGGTACACTGAAAAAATGGCAATGGGGGGATTGTTGAATTTGCAAAAATGCCTTTCGTATTTCCTACATGATTCATTTATGTTTCTCATCTAAACATATTTTAGTCTTGTGCCATTCATTTAATGTTAAAGGGTGTTCAATCTTTTAGAATTAATCATGTTGAAATGTTAGAAATTAGTCATGTTTTCTCTGGAAACTCCGCCCCCTGGGAACGCGCAAAGGAAAACCAATTAACTGCTGGACAGTCCGCCATTTTCACTCTAGCTTTGGATGTTGGAAGCTGGAAGTTTTCGCAGTGGATCGCTACAGTGTGAAGGTAATTAAAACTTTGAACTAAAATGCCATTGAGAAACCGTTAGTAATCAATTTGAACGTATTTTCCCCGAGGTAACGTTTTTCTGTGCTGATATTATCGAGCAACCCGACGGAAAGGCAAAGTTAGTGCTAATGTTTAATGTGGTTA